AGGTAAAATGGAACACTTGTATTTGTGTTTCAATTATAAATGAACATTACCTCTTGTATCTTTTACATTCTTCTGTATTCTACTCACTACCCCTGCTATCCAGGGCCTTTGAATCAAGTGAATTTCTAGCCCTTTTTAGTTTTTATTTTGAGAAATGGTGTTGCTAAATCCCTAAGTTGCCCAAGCAGGGCTCAAACTTTCCATCCTCCTGCCTCAGTCTAATACTTACCTTTTAAGCACTACCTATACCCAGATGCGTGCAATAAGTGCATTAATAAGAGTGCATGAATCCATGAACTACAAGATCTCTGTAGCTAGCATGCAGAAGTTAACTAATGAACACAATGCACAATAACAAGAGCTCTGTGTCTGTAATTTTGTGTCCATGGAGCTTGAGCCCTAATCACATTCATCAAAATATATGCTCTGCAAAGAAGTCCACATATGTAGCTAATATTAAAATTAACTAAAAGGACAAAACCAATCATCTTTTAGAAGGATCTGCTGAAAGAAATGAGAAAATGAAGGAGTTAATGAGCTAACAAGAAGATAAAATATGCTTGGCTAAAATATTACAATTTTTTCAAGACAAAGTCTCACTATGTAATTTAGGCTGGTGTCAAATTCATTACATAGCCCCAACTGGCCTCATGACAATCTTCCTGTCTCAGCCTCCCAGGTGTTGGGATCACAGGCAGGTACCACCACACCCCATTAATGAAGAGATGTTCAAACCTAGTGCAACTGTCCTGGCATGGCTTCTGGCTATGGAAGGTGAGGTTTGTGTTCTTCCTGGCCTGAGCTCAAACCTCTCAGGGAGTCTCTTCTCAGCCTGTTCCCAGTCTACAGCTTTCCCCCATGGCTGTCTCTCACTCATTCACTGTGGGAGGTTGACACTGGGAACCCTGAAGTGAAGCTGTTCTGCAGCTGTTCTGAGTCCCACATTCAAATACTCAATCCTTTCCCTGAGTGGCACCCAACCCATACTCTCTGGTGATATGGCAGCTGCCTATACTGGGATCAGTCTACAGCTGTTGTTTGCCATATAATAATACTCTCACTGTACTAAATTCCCTGTCATCTCTGCAAACCAAAAAATACTGCCTACCCAGTGCACCACCTCTGCCATTTCTCCCTGGAGCTTCCTGGAGTTCACAGTGCTCACCATGCTTCTGTAGAGTCAGGTGCCCTTCCCTGAAATCTGTGAGCCACAAGGAAGTGAGAAAGTCCTGACTCTTTTATTCTCATCTCTGTATTGTGGTGTATCACTTCAACTTCTCTGTAGCTTTTACTTTTCCTGGAAGTTCCTTCCCAATTCCCAGAGATCTAATTATCTCTTTTTTCCTCCTTTCCTAACTTGTTATTTTCCAGTGTCTGGATTCCAGATCTTGGAGAGGCTGAATTGCTTCGGCTCATCTCTCTGCCATTTTTTTCCCACCACAAACTAAATGAGACATCATTCCTGCAGTCAATGGAACCTCAAAACAGTCTGAATGAAACTTTCTTACTAATAAATCTTAAAGTCTAAGCTCAATGCCAAATGCACATGGTAAATGCTTGTTAAAGTGCTGCAAATTGCCTCCAATTACCCGAGAAAATGGTAATTCTGTTTTAAGAAGTGGTAACATAACTTGCAGATTATATTGAGAGTGAAGAAGTTTGTCTCGAGAAGGAATGTGTAATTTAGATAGATTCTCCTACTTCTTATTTATATTGAGATGTTTTCTTAGCTGATCCATATACCTTGACTGCCCATTAGAAAATAATTGTCAATCTAAGAATCTACATTTCAGGCTTGCTGGACTTCTGGAACAAATTTTGCACATAACTATGTGATGTCAAAACCTAGAAATCTTTTAAATTGCACATCAACAGCTTCACAATAAAATAGAACTCTCTAACATAATTTTGAAACTGATTGCAATAATCATTTAACAAAATCTACTTGTATTTTTCAAATGCCTTGCAATCACTGTTATTCCTTTATCATACTTGTCAGAGTTTACATTGTCATTTTATAAGACATCTTCAAACACAACTCAAAGCTCATTATTTTGCAGTTCTGAATAGGCCTTCCTCTCCTGTACCTCTATCTCTACTTTTTTTTATGTTTATTTTGTTTTTCTTTTGCGGTACTGAGGATTGAACACAGGAACTTTTGCTTGCCAGGCAGGCACTTATTCTACAGAGCTATCTCCCTGGCCCTGATCTCTATCTCTACTTTTATTGGCATTCTTTTTAATGTACTTATGGACATGTATTAACCCATCTTCTAAATGGTAAAAAGAATTGATAACATCTGCCTTCATGAATCTTTGTTCTAATAATTGATAATCATATCAATAAAGCATATTTTCAGAAATGTATTTGTAAAAGTTTTAATGATGGCAAAGGAAAATGATGTAATTCAAGCAGTCTTCTTTAAAATTAATTGTAAAAAACTGAGCACAGTGGTGCACACGTGTAATCTCAACACTCAGGAGGCTGAGATTGGAGGATTGCCATGAATTCAAGGCCAGCCTGGGTCACATAGTGAGTTGAAGACTGGCCTAAACTACATAGTGTGACCTCGTCTCAAAGACAAAAGTCTTGAAAATCTTGGCATTGAGAATTTGAGCTCTTGTCCCACTGCTTCCATCCAGCACAGATCTGGGGGTCTGATTGCTTCCTTTATCTACCAGTGTGAATGGGGAAGACACATCTTGCAGCCTGGGTAAAACAGAGAGGCCTTTGGTGTAAGAAGGGGCTGTTTAAAAAACCCACAAGCCTTAAGGCTAGGTAGAGAAAGACTTTCTAGATTCCAAAATTGCAGATCTCAGAGCAAAACAACTCATTAAAAACACAGACAACATATTTTTGGACTCTTATTTTCCCTTTCCTCCTCCTCCTCGTCCTCCTCCTCGTCCTCCTCCTCGTCTTCCTCCTCGTCCTCGTCCTCGTCCTCCTCGTCCTCGTCCTCGTCCTCCTCGTCCTCCTCGTCCTCCTCGTCCTCCTCGTCCTCCTCCTCGTCCTCCTCCTCGTCCTCCTCCTCGTCCTCCTCCTCGTCCTCCTCCTCCTCCTCCTCTTTCTTCTTCAGAACAGGGGATTGAACTCAGACCTTTGCACTTGCCAGGCAAGCACTTATTCTACTGAGCTATCTCACCACCCCTTCTCTTTCTTCTTTACTGTTTTTTTCCCCTGGGGGTAAATATTGTTTGTATTGGTAAGGCAATTCCCTGTTGTCCTTTTTCATTGATTTTTGTTTTTCTCTCATTCTTTTCTTCCTTTTACATTTTGTTTTCTTATTTTTATTCTCCATGTTATTGATTTTTATTCTTTACCATTTACTTCTCATTTTTCCATTACTTTAATTCTATAAATACTCTTCTATGACTTAGTAGAAACCTTGTCTCAAAGTTCTCTACTCCTTCCCATCTCCTCTAGTTTAACTCTTCAAAGTTTACTTTTTGCATCCACCCAATTCTGAACCGCACATATCTTTAATGATATAACCACTAAGGTTTATTAGTCTTTAGATACTTAATTATATAATTACATTGAATTAATTTTTATCATTAGTGGAGGTATAGTTGTTGCATTTGGTACATATTTGCTATTTGTCAATATCTGGGTTGTTACAGTGTCTATATTGTAATTGTGGATTTTGTCTCTGTTTAAGGGTGGTACACTATTGGTTCTTATACTATGTCAATGTCCAATTTGTCTTAGATGATATTATGGTTGATAGTTTGCTTGTTATTGCTAGGATCACATAATTGTTGCTATTAAAAGATTTTCTCTATATGTCAACACCCCGAATACCTTTATGACATTAACAGTATGATGGTCAGTTCTCAGAGAATTGGGTTTGGGTCCACTGCAGTGCATCTTTCTCTCTCAAATTAAGAGATGTCATTGGATGTTGTGACACAGGCAAAAGTCTCTAGCTGTACCAAAAGTGCATCACTGACAAGCGGACTAACTAAAGAGATCTCTATACTAGTAACAGAGTTTTTTTTTTTTTTTTTTGCTATATGCACTTACAAACCTTAGCACCATACAAACAACAGAAGCAAGAGAAGACAAAGGAACAAAATTCCTCTTGAAACTCCCAACTCTCCCAGAGCTAATCCAGTGGGCATGAAGGAGAACTACAGCAAAGACCACATACCCAAATTATCCAAAAGGATAATAGAAGGGATTAGAAAACAGATCAAAGAGGTGTTCAGTGGGACAACAGAAGATGTAACTAAATGATAAGGGGAATAATAACTAAAATGATCCAAGAACTTTCAGAGGACACTAATAAAAATCTATATGAGTGTTATGGTTTGTGTCTTGTAGTCCCCCCAAAGCCTCTTGTCATCACTGGGGCAGGCTTTTAGAGTTCATGATCAATTCATGATCCAATGCTGGGATAATGGGTGTGAGTGCTGCTGAAGTTCTGTGTATGAGTGCTACCCTCACCCTGGGGTGGATAGCCTGAATGCAGTATAAAGAAGAGAGAAAGGTTTTCTCTCCACCACTTCTCCTCCCTTTTTCATCCTTGTTGCTTTTGCTGTTTTCTGCTGCTATGGCTGTCCTCTGCCATGGGACACTGCGGCTTTGAGGCACCTGAGCATCATCTGGAACCTCCACCAACTGTGAGCTAAATAAGCCTTTCCTTCCTTAATTCTGGCTGTCAGATATTTTGTCTTAGCAATGAGGGAAAAGTAACTGAGACAACAAATAACTTCATGATGCAACTGAAGGTCCTAGAAAAACAAAAACTAGAACAACCCAATTCCAAAGTTCATATAAGAGAGATTATACAGATTAGAACAGAAATTAAAAAAATTGAGACTAACAAAAATCCAAAGAATTAATGATCTGA